AGAAAGCTGCTTGCTGGACTACCCCCTTTGCTTGAATGCAAATCAAAAGGCAAAGAAAAGGAATAAAGATTTAACGCCTCAAATCTTCAAATCTCAATGGAAATCTCAATCTTTTCAATAGACATCTCCATCCAAAAGCCGCCAAAAGCATAAAATCTCAATGGAAATCTCCAAATGTTTAATACAAATCTCCATCCAAAAGCCTGTAAGATAAGCAAATCCCAGCAAATTCAAAAGGGAAAAAGTAAACTATAACAATAAAAAATCCACTACAACTACCCCTCCAAAAAAAAGACATTGTTCTAGGGGCCTTTATAAATCAGCGCAGGGAAAGAACATAATTCTAGGGGTCTTTATAAATCTGAGGGCCACATTAAGACCAGGGCGGGCGATCGCGATCTGTGAGCCATGTTGGTGCGCCCTTAGAAAAGGTGTGCGATTGCAGTGGGGGAGCATTCGTTTCGTTTTGGGGACCTTGTGCGCCTTGGAACATGTGTAGCTGGTAGCGGAGCTGAAAGACACCTTCCGTGATGTCGCAGCCCTGTGCTGGTGCTTCGACCTTGAATGGGCCGCAGGCTTACACTGGTAAGGCCCATGAACTTGTTCCATAATTCAGTGGCCGCTCCTCTAAAAAGAATATCGGAAGTGGCCCCTTCTCTATGACAAGAAGATGCCCTAGCTGGACGTGGAAGCGAGACACCATTCAACATCCTTTGCACATTAAAGGGTCGCGCATGGGACGCATGTGAAGACATTGAGATGTCTACATTGCAGGGCTCATCTGGCATGAAGGTATTTTGGAGCCACCTGTCAAGATATTCAAGTACGATGCAATCACTGAGCTGCCGAATGACTTTGGGTCCTTCTTAATGTCCCTGAGCCGTCGTAAGAACACGACCCTCCAAGAGTATGCTGGTGATTTTGAACGTGCGTTGCACAAATTGGAACAACACAATGTCAATTTACCAGACAAAGTTGTTGGTTGGTATTTTCTTCGTCGTGCAGGACTGAGCCAAAGCCAGCGACAGATCATCATGTCGAGCTTGGGCTCAGAGACTCTGAGTTTGGACAGTGTTCGAAAAGCAATGAACTTTGTCATCGGGCAAGTCAGTGTTCCAGATGATGCCTCTGCCAAGACAGGTGGACGATGGACCGAGTCCTTCAATTCAAGGATGCCGTGTACTAGGATTGTGACTTCGGCAAAGATGAAGACGACTATGACTATGGCATCTACTGGGCAGGCGAAGAAAATGAAGAGTATGAGGAAGATGACCCAGAGGATGAAGTTCATGATGTCACAGAGGACTTGGCATGGCAGCCGCATATGATGATGTGTCATGGCCGGCTACACCGAAGCTCATCAGAAGCTCAATGCTATGCGGCTATGCATATGAGCCGAGGATACCATCCGGTCGTGGCCATGGTCCCAGAGCAGCCATCTGGCAAGGGCTTTCAGTCCTAGAAGGGCTCCAGTGGAAAAGGCGAAGGCAAGAGCAAATCTGCCAAAGGCAAAGGTGGAAAAGGTGCACCTCGTCAAGCACCGAAGCCACCATCAGCCAAAGCCCGTGGCAAAGCAGAGAAGTGCTTGCGTTGTGGTCAGGCCGGTCATCGAGCTCGCAATTGCCCAACGGCCGGAGCACAGAAGAGGAAGGCAGAAAGCAGTCTTGATGACGTCAACATGGTCAGTTTGACCTGGAGGAGGTTCAGGTTGCTGGTGAAGAGATCTCAGAGTCCAGAGATGTGGCCATGACATCGGAGGGGAAGCTTGTGGACTACCTCCACACGCTTATGAGAGCCTCGGATTTGACGTCGACAGCATTCCGACCTTCCGATGCAAGAAGGGCTCAGGTTTGGCAACGGTGAGAAGAACATCACATCAGTTTGTCTTTGGGTGCCAGCCTTCATGGGTGGAGGTCGCATGTACGTGATCCCTGGCAGCGCCCCATTCCTTTTCGGACGATCCATCTTGGAGGCCTTGGACGTGACCGTCAACTATGCCCCAGGCCAGATCCGACGGGACAAGAAGAAGAGGCAGTCGTGGTGAATTCATTTGCCACATGGCTGAAGATGTGACCAAGGAACCAGTGAATGTCCTTCTCCAATTCTAAAGCTCACGTGCGCCCGGAGATTCTTTCCGTTCGCATGTTCTTTGATGGCAAAGCAGCAATGTTGAATGTTGATGAGGAAGGAGGAGACCACCAAGTCCATTTTGGACGTGCAGAAGGTTCGGTGGAAGTGTGAAAGTGTGCAACACCCTGTGATGAAGCAGAGGCCTTGTCGACCATGACCTTGCAAGAAGCAGTGACCATTGACCTTGAATCTAGTATCTAGTCTTGATGATGTCATTGTCACAGAAGATCTCACACTCGACCCAGAGGCCAATCAAGCAAGCCATCCAGAACTTCATCGCCTGCCGAGTAGCAAGTTGAAGAATCTGCTGCGTGACACAGAACGCCGGTTGAAAGAGATGGATGCAGCGTGTCAGCATCACCACTTCAAGAGTACGACAAGAAGTACACTCTCTGGCAGATTTTTGCTGGAGAGGGATAGGCGTCCTTCGCTACATGCTGCGCGATTCAGTCTGCAGGATGGGTGGGATTTCACAAGAAGTTCAAACCGCATGGCGGTTTTGAGACGCTTGCGGGATGCGGAACCAAATGCCGTTTTGTTGAGGCCAGCGTGCAGGTTGTGGAGCCAGCTTTTGAGCATCGCTGCGCATATCCTGGCTATCAGGCGCAACTGGAAGAGCAACGCCTGTGGGATCATCGCAACCTTTTGATGTGTCATTTTCGAGCACCAGAGGAGGCATGGACGTCTTGCCTTGTGTGAACACCCGAGGGAAGCAAGGCGTGGAAGACTCAGGCGTTTGATTCCATGACAGGCTATGACGGCTATGACGCACATGTTGACCAGTGCATGTTTGGCATTCGGCTTCCAGAACCCCAAGGTGAGATTCAGCCAGTGAAGAAGCCCACCAACTTGCGTGTGACCAGTGCAACGCTTGCTCAGCAGCTGACCAGGACGTGTGATGGCAACCACAATCATACACATCTTGAAGGCCAAGTTCCAGGATGTGGTGCGACGTCGCGGCCCATCCACAAAAGCTGGCAACACATTTGGTGAACTGCATTATTAAAGCTGACCTTGACAGCATGGCAGATGTGTATGCTGCAGAGGACATGTCGGTTGAAGAGAGTTCAATGAAGGTTGAAGCATTTAATCCATTTGCGACAGGATCAGGACCAATTCCGAATCGGCATTCTACGAGCTGCAGGGAGGTCAGAAAGAGCAGAAGATCACCAAGAAGGGTGAAGCAGCAATGAATTTGGATGCTGTTGAATTTCAACCATTAGGTCCAATTCCAATTCGCAGAAACCGTGTTCTCCGAGCTCAAGTCGGTCCACGTTCAGTTGACAATGCGCAGAGGCTGCGCAAGAACTGGGTCATCCATCCAGGTTCGAGCAGCTGGCCAAAATGTGTCCACTGTGCTACGCAAGGAAGCCACCAAAGCAGAGTCCACCTGAAGCGCACCGAATTCAATGGTCGCATCTTGGTCGATTCGCATTGGATTTCGTGCGATGATGGCATGGTGAAGGAGCGTCTCCCTGCCCCAGGGACACCTGCTGCTTGCCGACGTGAAAGGACAAGGAGGAAAAACGACCGCGACGAGACGTCAATGTGTGTTGACAATCAGTGATAATGCCACCAGATATGTCGCCATCAGAGTCCTGAAGTCCGAGAAGGCGGAGGAGTTCACGAAAGGGACTTGAGAGAGCATGGGTCAAGCATTTTGGTGCCCCCCGTGTCCTGCGAATTGATGAGGCTAAAGGTTAGAGCAGCATTCATGTTCGTGAATGGGTTATTCATTGACAACCTCAAGAAGGCTGCATTGTATGTTCCCCATGCCGTGAATCAGTTGTCCTTCCATCGTTGTTTTCCCCTCAACAGTGGGTTCTTGGCAAGTCTATGACGTATGTGCATGGTCTCAGTGGTGAGTTCTTCAATCCTGCTCAGTTCAAGCCAGACGGACACAAGCCGCCACAGCTTTCTTTTCAGCAGATGTTGACGCCAAGCTGCGTCGAAAATTCGCCCAGAAGTTTTCGGAGAGGCAGGAAGATTTCGTGATTGGACAGCAGGTTTGGTTTTGGAGGAAGAACTTCGACGGCTGCGCGAGTCTGGATGGCGAGGACCTGCCAGGATTGTTGCTTTTGAGAAGCAAGCCAGTGTGAACGTTTACCGGCTATGTCATGGCGCTTCCTTGGTTCTTTGTGGTGCAAGACAGGTGAGACCAATGGTGTCATGCCAGTTGCTGTTGACAGACCCGCAGCCTTGCGTGATTTACAAGAGCTGAAGGCCCGAAGTACGACTCAGTTTCGCGATGAGCTGAGAAAGCAAGGCATGACTGATGAAGCTGAACAATTTGATGGCAATGACCTGGACATTGAAGCAGACTATGAGCCATCAGAGGCACCTGAAGGCTTTGTTCCCGATGACAGGTCGGATGATGAACAGCAGCCAGCCGCAGAGGATGATGTCAACAGGTGGCATTCCTGGAGTCGTCAGTCTTTTGTTGCCGCGACTTGCAGATGAAGATCGAAAGAGGACGAGAAACTGTGACAACAGCAGCTCCAACAGAAGATGAAGGACATCCCAGCCGCCAGTAGTCCAAAGAGAAAGTCACCAACAAGTTCACCAGATGAACCGCTGTGCAAGGCAGCCAGATCAACGACGTCAGGGGCAGCTCGACATGACCTTCCGCAATTGAGAACGACAAGATGTCGGGCACCTTGATGGGGAGCATCTTCCAGTTTCTGACTCAGATGACCTCATCATTGAAGACATCTACCTGACACAGTTGCCTGAAGATGCAGCAGCGGGCTGGCGTGTTGTTGATGGCTGCATCGAGATGGATGACGTCTACATTGCTGCAATCAGAAAGGGTGAAGTGAATGAGCTTGAAAGTGAAAGTTGAAGCCTGATGCTGAATCAGTACTTCCAGAACAATGTGTGGCAGTTTGCAATGCCCGAGCAGATCGAGGAAGCGATCAGGGGCAATCGGGTCATCACTGCTCGTTGGGTGTTTACTTGGAAGCGCATTGATTCAGAAGATGGAGTCACTCGTCGTTGGAAAGCTCAGGCAAGACTCGTCCTTCGTGGCTTCCAGGACCCGGACATTTTGAGCATGAAGGCCGCATCGCCAACCAGCTGGAAGGATGGCTCGAACCTTTTTTGCTGACAGTGGCAACTTGGTTTGAATTTGACTGGACAAAATAATTTTGCACGGATGTAAATGATGTAAAGGCGACTTTTCTCTCTGGCAAAGGATTCGATCGTTTGTTGGTTGTGAGATTGCCAATGGATTGTTTGCCATTGATCGTTGGAGCACAGAAGCATGTTCACAACAAGCATGTTTACATGAAAATGAAGAAGTCGGCATATGGCCTTTATGATGCTCCATTGCTTTGGTTTGAAGAGGCAGCCTCAAGATTGCTCAAGCGACAGTGTCCTCAACATCCACTTGATAAGTGCTGTTTCATGAGGACAAACAGCAAGACAGGTCAGCCCAATGTGATGCTGATTCTGCATGTTGACGACATGTTGTTGACAGGTGATGCCAGAGACACTGACTTTCAAGAAGCCCTCAAGTATTTTTGCGTGCTGATTTTGATTTTTGCAAATGGTATGAGCTAATTCAGGCTCAGTCGCTGAGATACTGTGGAGGCGCTGTTTTGAAGACTGCATATGGCACTGAGGTCAGCTATGAAGAGCACATTCGCAAGATTTGTCCCATGAACATCAGCAAGGAGCGAAAAGACGAAGATTCAGTAACACCAAGAGAGGTGAGTGATGCAAGAGGCTTGATAGGAGCACTTCAGTGGCCAGCAACACAGGAGTTCCACCCTTGCGTGGATCGATGTCGATGCAAGCTGGTGAGATTCCGAAGCGCAGAGTGTCTCATTTGAAGGAGCGTCGATTCGCAAAATCGAATGCAGCTGTGACCTTGAAGTTCATTGCAAAGCCAGTCGCAAAGCAGAAGGCCTTCTCCAAGATGTGCATCATCTGCTATGCAGACGCGCCTTTTGTGTCCCTAGTAACAAGACATCGCAGGGGGGCTATGTTCTGATGGCGTGTGATAAAGGTGTACTGAATGGAGAGAACATCCAGCTTCCATTCTGGTGTGGAGGTCTTTCAAGGTGCCTCTTGTATGTCAAAGTTGGAAGAACTTTTGATGGCCAAGACCTTCCTTGATTTTGAAGCATCCTCATTCAACGCTTCAAGCAGTGAAGGAGAATTTGGAAGGTGAGTGTGCAATGGCGACGGTTTGCAAAGCTTTGCTTGCTGCTGTTCACAGAGAAACTGCGCAGGCTGCAACTGACAAGCGTGTTGCCATTGAGGGACTTGTCATCAAAGATCTTTTGAAGGATTTGAACTGCCAGTGGCGTTGGGTGTCAAGTGAGAGGCAGCTCAGCGACAGATTGACACAGGTTGGTGCCTGGCAAGCTTTCGTCGAACGGTACAAGGGGAGCTACATACAACTTGTTGCCGATGAAGCCTTTCGTGCTGCCAAGAAGAAGAGCAAAGAAGAGCGTGAGAGAACTGTGTCTGAAACCAGAGTTTCCAGAGTGGCATTGGCGCAGACAATGGTTGCATTGCTGATGAACACCGAGATCCAAGGTGCTGACGCATTGAAAACATTAAAAATAAAAAATACAACCGTGAAATGCAGTTTTTTTGCATGGTTCTACAATACCAAAATATCATACTCAAATGGTTCCACAATGCAAATAGCACCTGCCAAGCCAATTGAATTTTGAGTCGCATTGTCCTTTTTATGTGTTGTTAAGAAGTTTTTGCGCGCGTTTGCAGTCTTTTTGCCTTGTGGCAAAATAGAAACAAAGGCAGTCGGGCCGCAAAATCAGCAAACACCCGCGTCGACGCGTCAGAAAGACAAAAGATGCAAAATTTTGGTTTCGCATCCGCTTCGGCAATCTTTGTAGGTTTTTTTTAGGTATTGTTTCTCGCGGGTCGTATGTTTTTTGTATTTTTTTAACGGGTCGTGTGTTTTCGTATTTTTTGTGTATTTTTTGCGGGTCGTATTGTTTTGTATTTTCATCTTTTTTTCAGATTTGTATTTTGTATGTACTTTGTATTTTTTGTATGTTGTATGTTTTCGTCTTTTTAATTTTTGTATTTTGCAAAAAAGTCGGATTTTTTGTATTCTTTAAAATACAACTTTGTTTTCGTTTTTTGTATTTTTGGAAAATACAAAACAGGGATCGTATTTTGTATTTTTTCGTATGTTCTAAAAATACAAATCTTCAGCCTCGAACTGCGAACCGGCAAAAACCACCGGCAAACTTTTTTGACAACCAGCGAAACGTGGTCAGGCTACCCGACAAACACGAGAGGCTGCTCCAAAAGACAACGGGCCAGCTTCCCATCCCACCCATATCAATGCGTAGCAAGTGGCAAATCACGTGAATATTGCTTTCAGTTTTGCATTTTTGTTAGGGTTGTATTTTTTCAAAAGTGTACTTTTAAAAATAAAACTGGTGAATTGTGTTTTCCAGTCGTACTTTTTTGATGTTTATATTTGTAATTATTTCATGGCTTATAGGCTGTACCTGGATCCGGGGGACCAATGATAGCAGTGCATGGCGTGTTGATGCATTGCTCGCGACGGTTTGCTGACGCTTGTGTGGAGCATCAGTCAATGGATCATGAATTGTTTCAGGGCTCGAGACAGCTTTGAAGATCAGGTGCAAGACCTGAAAGAGCAGGTATTGAAGCTTGAGCAGGGAAAGATGGACCTTGAGCAGGAGCTGGAGGTCAAGAATTTGAAGGTGGAAAAGATTACCAAGCTCAATGAGCACTTGGGGTGAGCCAGTGGCCAGTGCAAGAAAATGATGCAGTGCGCACCTTCCGGACAACAGCAAGCAGTTCGCATGAAGGGCCAATGTACATTACACCGAACGGTGAGTGTTGGCGCAGGAGCGTGACGTGTGCTGGACTCAACTCAGTTATGAGGAGGCCGTGCGCCCGCTGTGTTCGGAGGGGATGACCACCCCTTTGTGTGAGATTTTCCGCTGGAAACCTTTGCGTGAGGGACATGAGAGTTCGAGATGACTTCGTCGTGCCCGTGACTACCGCCTCAAGACCAGGGCGGGCGATCGCGATCTGTGAGCCATGTTGGCGCGCCCTTAGAAAAGGTGTGCGATTGCTGTGGGAGAGCATTCGTTTCGTTTTGGGAACATTTGTAGAAGTGCTTTGGAAGGCATTCCTTGTTTGGGATGTGTCACTGCCAGCTGCAATTGGAAGTGGGCGCCCTTTTCTTAAAATGGAAGTGTAGAGTGTAGAAGATGACCGGAGAGGCAATCTTGGCTTTGGCTGGCATTTTGCCCACAGAAGAGTATGCGAAAGAGCTGCGGAACGTTTTGCTCTCGGAACAGCTGAAACCTACTGGAGAGTTCGTGTCTTGACCGTCTTGACCTCTCTTATCACATGCAGTGCAGGGTCGTGTTGGGGTGGTGTGCTCGGATCATCGAGGGACCTTCCTCAACTTGACACAGGATGGGGGACCACGTAGGCTACGTAGACCATGCCAACATTCATTTGTGGCCCATTTCATGTTTTCAAGTTGAAACCCTTTTGCCTGCTAACTCTTTCGTTGCTGATTTGGAACATTGTTGGCATTGACTTGCGCCTCAGGTTGGCAGACAGCAAAATGTGCATGCGACTGGAAATGGCTGCGTGACAATGGTAGGCCATATTCTGATATATGTGCTGTGGATGAGTTCTGTCACTACGATTGGCACATTTGGTTTGTGCGTTCCAATGTCAACATTACCAACACAAGTTGAAGGCTTCTCTTGTTTGGATTTTGCTTGACAGGCTGGCTCCACCACATGCTCCAGGAAAGTCAGCCTCCATCGTGGGATTACCCGCGGGACTTCAGTCCTGGATGGAAGCACTTCAGCCACTCAATTGCCCAGGATGGGTGTGTGTGTATGTGTTCACCCCATCGTGGTGGGGATTCTTGCGGCAAAACACTCCCAGCCACATCTCCTTCGTCCTAAGTGCAAGTTGAGTATAGTTAGTTGAGTTACCGTTTGTGCGGGGGCAAGATTGGAAAAATGGTTTCGACATATTTGGGAGGATAGAGTCGATACGAATCACTTCGGTCAGGAGGACGGACGCAGGGAGTTTCACATGGTTTCTATTGGGTCGGATTTGGAATTTGGCCTAATCACGCTCCACTCAAACAGAGTGCAAGCGTACAGACTAGACTAAACTGCCGGGCGCCACTCCGGTAACTGTTTGTCAAAGGTGGCCAAAATATGTGCACTTTCAAAGAAAAAACTCAAATTGGAGACAAGTCAGAGGGTCAAAATTCAAGCAACAGATGAAGGGACTTCAACCAGAAGATGCATGCCTTTGACGCAGCACACATCTTACACACGTGGTTGAAGCTAGAATGCGGCGTGAAACAGTTTTATATGGTTTTTATGTATTCTCCACACTTGCACCCAGACACTGAGGAGCTCTCAATCGCGCGCCTGGAAAGTAGCTTGCTTGCAGAAACACAATGATACAGCTGCGTGGGCGAACCCACTGACATGCAACCTGAGGCAGCAAGGGCGTGACCGTCCTGGACTCCCTGAGACTGTAAGAGGTATCCTGTATCTATTCCTCCCTGGAGAACTCTCCACGAAGCTGAATACAGAACTGAGGTAGGTATAGATGCGTGATGATATCATGAATCATATGATACATGACCAGTGTGCGCCCGTGGAACCACAACTGCCCTCTCTAGGTGACTGTATGTCCCCTCTCAGGCTGGGTCGTGGCATCTCGGAGGTCTTCTCCAAGGGCAGCTCAGAGCCTTGGAGGTGAACCATGTGATCCAAAGCAGGCTGAGAATCTTGAACGTAGTAGCTTCTTGTTCCTAGGAGCCCTAGTAGCTTCTTGTTCCTAGTAGCAAGGCCAGGAGCCCCTAGTAGCTTCTTGTTCCTAGCAGTAAGGCCAGGATAGTAAGGCCAGGATCCCCTAGTAGCTTCTTGTCCCTAGTAGTAAGGCCAGGACCCCCAGTAGCTTCTCGTTCCCAGTAGTAAGGCCAGGAGCCCCTAGCAGCTTCTTGTTCCTAGTAGGGCCAGGAGCCCCTAGTAGCTTCTTGTCCCTAGTAGCAAGGCCAGGACCCCCTAGTAGCTTCTTGTTCCTAGCAGTAAGGCCAGGAGCCCCTACTAGCTTCTTCCTCCTAGCAGTAAGGCAAGGAGCCCCTAGTAGCGTCCTTGCTCCTAGTAGTAAGGCCAGAAGCTCGTAGTAGCTTCTTGTTACCGGTGGTAAGGCCAGGAGCCCCTAGTAGCTTCTTGTTGCTAGTAGCAAGGCCAGGAGCCCCTAGTGTCTTCTTGCTCCTAGTAGTAAGGCCAGCAGCTCTTAGTAGCGCCCTTGCTCCTAGTAGCGATGGTAGTATGGCCGGGAGCCCCTAGTAGCTTCTTTTTGCTAGTAGTTACTGCACGTGCATTTAGTGTTTGTGTTTGCTTTCCGACCTTCGACTCTTCAAGATGTACGTGCCATATGGGCCATATGGCCTTATGCCAGACCTGCATACGTACATAGCATAACGATGCATAACGTGCCTGAGGACCTCTCCTCAAGCGAGGCTTGCTGCAAGATACCGACAGTTTTTCAGCCCTTTGTCGTTTGATGTGTCTCAGTGTGTCTCAGTGGCATTGGGCTAGTGAAGACTAGAAGCTCCAGGCACCATCCTTAGCCCATACGATTCTTGACTGCAAAGATTGTGGATTGTTTTGCACCTTCTTTTCAAAGCAAAGCAAAGGTCGCAACTTCTGTCCAACAAGTCATGACCCTTTTAGCCTCTTTGTTGTATCTGAGAGGCTGACCTTGGAGTAATTACGCCGGACCGGGGCAGTGCAAACATGGGCCAGGTCGAGCCTCTACGCCCATCATGAATCCACTGGGAAAAGCTTCATGTCATGCCACGATGTAATTCTTGCAAACCTCGATTCTCATCGATTTGCAAGCTTTTGTTTGGGATGTGAGGTGAAAGAAAGCTGGGAATTGTGACCCGTGCGTGCATCTCATCACCACCTCTTCGCACTGCAGAGATCCTGTGGGAGTGTTCTGGGAGATCGACCTTAGTTTCTGGGTTTGAGTATTCCAGATGCTGTAGCTCTTGGCTGCTGCCACCTGAATCTGGTCGCGCTTCAGCGCTGTTCTGCCATTAAAGCTGAGCCTTCTGTTTTCGTAGCTTTGTACAGGAGCAGATGCATCACAGCACGCTGCAGTGTGGACAGATGTGCTGCCTTTGCTTAAAGAACTGGCCGCCCGAGCAGAGCAAATCACATGGAATGTATATACACGTAAAACGCAATATATAACCCACATATATATATATATATTATATATATATATATTTAGAATATACATGGTTCCTTATTCCTTATAAGGCGATAATATACACATATCACACATGTTACAGTATGTTTGCAATACGTGTTCAATGGTATTAGCACTCCTTGGAGGTTGCGGAATCTGTGGATTCCCACTAGGTCCTGTGATTGAAAAGGAAACCGTCCAAGAATCGGGTGGACAGCTGACCACACAGCTCACTTGTGCAGGCGAACGGCAAAAACGCGCCGCAGCTGCAAATAGATGTCCTGGAAAGTTTCACACACTATCTAGATTAACCTTGCCGTATTCATTTCATACATCCTAGACATAGATGATGCTATGCACGACAGATCGATGTTGTAGAAACTGCGCTTTAGTCGAGGATGTTTGCAGCAGGGCTTGGGGCCGGCTTGGCGTAGGACTTCATGGTGAATAGAACTGCTTGCTTGAACAGACTGTTTGCTTGCTGGTTTCTGTAAAATGCTCCCTCTTAGTATGCCACGGGCGGCGACATCAATGTGATCTCATAAGAATTATTGTTGGATTGAGTTCACCAGCGGCTGACAAGCGACTGGAGGTCGAGGTGAAGTATGAGAAGGATGACGCAGCGTATGTAGGACGGTCGGACTCTTCCTGATCTGTAAGGGTTGGATTTCAGTCAGTTCAACCGACGGTTGGACATGAAGCATGACCACAGAATTCAGTCAAGGCAGGAGCAGCACAGTCACTGCCCTGCAGGAGGGATGGTGGATGGCAAGCGCGAAGGATTTGGTGCCTTTGCTGCAGAATGCCTTTCAGTTAGCTCCCATTTGGTTTGATTGCACTTTGGGGTACTAGCACCTGCTACAAAAGAGCTTCCAGCCTGTGGTGCTCATTTTGATCGCGCCCCTGTTCTTGTGTATATATATAAATATCAGTGTCTATGTGTGTGTGTGTGTTCTGAAGAGGGTTTCTTTGACCAGGGAGCGAAGATCAAATAAGATCAAGCCAAGCTGGACTGAGAACGCAGAAACCAGTGCAGAGAGGGTGCAGGTTTAATGCCAGCTTGAGGCATCTACAAGAGTGCCATAGAAACGCCACAAGCCTAGACATGCTTCTCACTCTGCTTGGAATTGATGTCTTGAGCAATCATTTGCAGTAAACATTGAGAGCGATCTATATAACTATACTGCGCAGACTCTGTCTGAGGGGTTTCAGTCTAGCTCCTGTGTCATTCGAATGGTCAATTTGCACAACAGCATTGGAATGAACAATGAACAAGGTATGAAGGTGAGTGGAAAAACGCTGGGAGCCCAGCCCCGTTGTTTGGGCAAAGGTCCATTTTGGCATAAAGAGCTTCATCAACCGCTAGGCAAGTTTCAGCTCCTGCATTCGCACTGATAAGGACAAGCAGCATGGAAGTGGAAAGCACTCGTGGAGCGATGGCCGTTCCTATGAAGGCCAGTATGTGACACTTGGCCTTCCATCCATATTTGCAAGACGCATCTCCGTGACAGTCAATACACAGCACCTAACATTTGTGCTACTTGTGAACTATTTGATACTATTTGCAATTCCTGGCCCGTTCATGTCCATTGGACACTCCAGTATTTGGGTGTCTATATATACAATTGAACTAGCTTGTCCTATATACTGTACTGTATATTGCCGCGGCGTTGATCGTGCCATTTTAGGTTTGACACTTTGTATTGTTTTGTTGCTACACTGTAGCATACTTGATATTATTGTTAATACACGGCCTTTTCACAACTGCAAGATGAGCCCAGCGCACAAATGAGGACATGTAAAAGACAAATAGAAGCTAAATCAGGGTTTTCCTGGTTCTGGACATTTAAGAGACAAACAAGAGACAAGTAAAAGCAAACAAGAGACAAATAAGCTCCTGCGTTTGTGGGAAGCTTCAGGGTTGACAAACACACACATAAAAAAAAGCAGTTGCTCGCCATTGTTCATTCTGACCTAGGCTCGTTTGCATTTGAGAGGGTACGGCACAATCGATCCCTCCATTCACTTAACAGCCTCAGCAGCCCTGAGTGATGAGCTTATGCCATCTTATGCCTGGGTTTTCTAGATGTGCGCATCCCCATGGATTTTGTCCTGGTTGCATTGCCATTCGCCAAGGAATGGCCGCTTCTCCGGAAAGGGGAAGATGGCAGCCTGGCACACTCTTTCCCAAACAGCATTCGTTTTAGAAGCCGGAGTCAATGCCAAGCTGCTGCTACCAGTAGATCTACTATTTGTGGGGGGCTGCTGTCCCAAAAGATCGTGAGAGGCTATTTTGTGATGAGTTATTTTCGACAGTTCGACAGTCATAGTTTCCGCATTGGCTCAGGTGTGGACAACCGACAAGGCTTTTTGTTTCTGTATCTTTCTGTGTTCGTGTTCCTAGTTTGTCAAGCAGTAGGAAGCCAAGAGCTCAGTGTTGATTAAACCAGTCGTGTGTGGCAGGGAATCATGACCTATGAAGGACAGGGCATGGGCCATTTGAATGGCTCTTGCTATTTGTTGATTTGTCCTGTTGGCCATGGTAGAATAATGCAGAACAGCTCTTGCATGGCCTTGAGCGCGATATGGTGTGTTCGCGTAATCTTTGCCCGGACCTATCGGCTGGACACTATCCCAAACTCACACATGTACTGTCGCACTGGCACGCGCGCCCACACACACAGACAGACAAGCACACTCTGACATTGGTTTTCAGTTAACTCAATTCCCAGGTGGAAGGAAGGTGAGAGAACCGCATGGCGAAAGGTCCAAGAAATTGTAGGTGTTTGAACAAAGGTTGTTTCTCATGTCTGCAGAACTCAGCGGTGGCGAAACGGGCGGCGCGGCGCGGCTGCAGAAACCAAAGTTTTGGGGGTGGTAGCGTGAAGAACCATGAATCAAAAAGTGGAGAAGTAGAGTCACAGCGTGGAAAACAGTTTCGGTCGCAGGTACAGGAATGTGCGTCCACATTCCCTTCCAGCTGAATCCCACTCTGAATCCCATAGCTTCGTTGGCATGGCTAGGGAAACAGCTGCCATGCCCCCTGCGTGGAAACTGCACAATGAAAATTCAGTGCCCCTGGATACGGGGGTTGACGCACACAGTATGCCGTGAGCCGGCGCTTCTGGAGAGAGGCTTGGCGGTCAATAGCTTGCTTGCTGGCTGGCTGGCTTGCTTTCTTGCTTGCTTGGCTACTGGCTTGCAGTGCGGGAAGTGGGTGAAGTGGGGAGGCATGTAGGCTTGTGGGAGTGCATGTTGAAAGGGCGTGGCGGTGACATGGCTGGGGCTTGTGGTGGATGAGGTAGCAAAGCAGGTAGTGGTTGTGGTGGTGGTGGTCGTGGTAGTGGTGGTGGTGTAAGTTGCCAATTGCAGTGGAGCTGGTGATGTTGCCAGCAATAGGGCCTGACGTCTGAAAACGTGAATATAATAGATTGCTTGCTTGCTTGCTTGCCTGCTTGCTGGCTGCTTGCTTGCTTGCTTGCTTGCTTGCTTGCTTGCTTGCTTGCTTGC